TGATTACTTTATTATTTTATTTTGATTTATATTGTTTTGTTTCATTTATATTGTTTTATTTCATTTTGTTTTATTGATGTTATGATTACTTTATTATTTTATTTTGATTTATATTGTTTTGTTTCATTTATATTGTTTTATTTCATTTTATTTTATTGATGTTATGATTACTTTATTATTTTATGTTGTTTATATTATTTTATTGAGTTTATTTTATTATTTTATTTTATTGACTATTTTATTATTTTATTGATGTTATGATTACTTTATTATTTTATGTTTTATTATTTTATTTTATTGATTTTATTATATTGATTTTATTTTATTATTTTATTATTTCATTTCATTTATTTCATTGTATTATTTTATTTTATAGATTTTGATATATAGATTTTAATATACAGATTTTATTATATTTCATTTATTTCATTGTATTATTTTATTTTATTGATTTTATGATTATTTTATATTATACTATTTTATTGGTTTTATTTTTATTGTTTTATTGATTTCATTTTATTATTACTTTATTTTGTTTTATATTATATTATTTTATTGATTTTATTGATTTTATTTCATGATGATTTTACTTTATTATTTTGGTTTGTTTTATATTGTTTTATTGATTTCTTTTTATTGTTTTATTTATATTATTACTTCATTATTTTATTTTGTTTTATATTACATCGTTTTATTGATTTCATTTTATTTGATTTTATTATTACTTTATTATTTTGTTTTCTTTTATATCATTATATTGATTTTATTTTTATTATTTTATTGATTTCATTTTATTATTACTTTATTTTATTTTATACTATTTCATTGATTTAATTATTTTATTTCATGATGATTTTACTTTATTATTTTGTTTTGTTTTATATTATTTTATTGATTTATTTATATTACTTTATTGTTTTATTTTGTTTTATATTATATTATATTATTGATTTCATTTTATTATTTATTACTTATTATTTATTTTTTGTCCCACTTTACCAATGTTAAAATCTGGTCACCTTAGACTAGACAAACCCAATTCCTGCCACCGTTACACCGTTATATACTTTAGCCTCCAGCCCCCTAATCCTCTTCGTTGCTCTTCTCTGCACCCCCCCCCAAAAGGAAGGAAAATGTCACCACGCATCTCATGTTGGGGGTGAGCAACTTCAATTTCTCTCCATCCCACCCCTTCTTTGCAGACGATCTGCTTTGCAACATGGATCAACGTGAAGCTTGGGACCGCTTCTACGCCCGGAGGCAGAAAAACGGACCTCCCCATCCATTTGACTGGTTCTTTGGCTACAAAGAGATCTCCACGCTTCTCGGCTCCGTTCTTGGGGGGCTGCCCTCTGGCCAGACGCGGGTCTTAGATGTCGGCTGTGGCGCTTCGTCCTTGTGCTTGGAGCTCTACCTCCGCTCGCCCATCCAGCTTCATGTCTCTTGTCTGGATTTTTCCTCCGCAGCCATCCAGTGTCTCGCACAGATGCTGCGGGAGAGCCCTCCGCCGTGCCACCCGCGGTCCGAGCTAGAGTGCCACCTGGGCGATGCCACCGAGCTATCCCGCCTCTTTGCTTCGGAGTCTTTCCACTTAGTTCTCGACAAAGGGACCTGCGATTCGGTCCTACGGGGATGCCCGCAGCGAGCGAGACGCTTAGTGTCCGAGTGTCTACGAGTCCTGAGGCCGGAGGGATGCCTCGTCCAGATCTCCGACGAGGATCCGGATGCCAGGGTGCCGTTCCTGGAAACGGCCGGCGGAGCCAACATCAACGTCGGGGAGATCGCCAACGTTAGCGGCATCTCATATTATGCTTACACACTTAGCCTCAAAGCTCCAGACCCATCAGATGTGGGGCAGCCCTCCAAGTCTCCGAGGAATCCATCATTGAGTGAAATCTAACAACAGACGTAACTTACAACACCCATATATCTTTTATCTCACACTCCAGTCGTTTAGAGGTGGTTAATTTTATTGTTTACTAGCTGATAACCCGGCATTTCCCGGGTATTTATAGACATTGGTTTGTCTGACAGGAGACAAGACTTTCTTCCCCCTACTCCCATGCCCATTATCCTTGCCCTCTCCCTCCCTCCCCCCTCCCATGCGCTCCGCTTTCCCACCCTTTCTACAATCCGGGCCCTTTGCCCCAAATCCATCAGGCGCTTCTCCCTTGGTCCACTAGAGGGCGAACATCATGGCTGGCTTTCCAGAGGAAGCTGTGAAGGAACTAACATCACAAACAAATTGCCGCTCTAGGATACCACACTCGCTGTGCTTAACAGGCCAGGCGTTTCAGAGTTATGCTGCAACACACAGACACAAGGGGTTTTATATATATATAACGGCCGCCGTTCTGGAATTGAGGATACGGGGATGTGATTTTTTTTTTTTTTAAAGCTGCCATCTTTTGACCTTATTGCAATTTATTTCTTTATTAAATTGTTGGGAAAGCCATCCAGCGTCCTTCAGAATTGGACAACCTACAAGCATATTCAATTAATACAAATTATTATTATTTATTGTTATGATGATTTAGAGCCCAGTACGTCTACAATTTCCTAGCTGTCACAACACGGTGCCCGTTTTCTTAGTCGAATGCCACACCTTCTCAAGTTGGAGCCCAAGATCCATTCCCCGTTGAGAATAAGTTTCAGGAAACGCGACCACCGTGATTTTATTCCGCGATCAGCTAAATTCCTTACGGGATTATTTCTCCCGACGGTTTCGACGGAAACGCTGCTGAATCAAACACGAGGGGCGGTGAATGCGCGGAAATATTTGCGCGAGAGTGTCAATCTTTCTAAGCAGTTCTCGGCTTACGACGTAGGACTGGTGTCGGAGTTTGGTGAATAAGGACGAGGCCAAAATAGAGGGGGGAGAAACTTGCCTTCACCATCTCCACATTGACTCGGTGCTACTGACCAGGTTTTCCCATCCTGGTTCTGGTTTATAAGAGGTTAGGAAGATATCGGCGCATCCGTCGATCCCAGGATAATGCTCCAGGTTTTACAGTAAGAGATCTCCCACGTCATTTTCAAAAGAGGAAAACCCTAAAATAATAAAAGAAATATTAACGATGATGATGTAAAAATAGGAGGCCAGAAGTTAAGGATCATTAGGCAGCGTTATATTATCGAATTCATTTATTTTTAAGTGTTACACTCTTTCCACAAAAATAAACCCTCCCTAGATAATAAGCTCAATCGGGCTTTGGAGTGCATGCGCTAAAATAAGCCCCCCCCCCAAATATTGCAACACAGCAGCAGCCACGAGGTGACCCTGCTCGCCGCCCTCCTGCACCTCAAAAATAATAAGGCCTCCCCGAAAATAAGGCCAAGCGCTTATTTCGGGGGGGGTCAAAAGAAAATAAGACCCTGTCTTATTTTGGGGAAAACATGTTATAAAGGTCCTTCCGTTTGGAAAGGGGGCTGGACTAGAAGACCTCCAAGGTCCCTTTCAGCTCTCTTCGGTTCTGAATTTTATCGCAAATATATCTTAAGGTACTTTAGTCCTCCTAAGCTGATTATTTAATTATCATTTGTTAAATTTATCAAAGTCATGGGCTCAGGGTTGGGGGGCTTAAATAGTCGTTGACTTACGACCAGTTAGGACAAGAATTTATGTCGCTAAGCAAGACGGTTCAATGAGTCAGGTGTGATTCGATCACCCATTTTCTTTGCCACGGTGGGAGTTGTTAAGTGAATCCCGTGGTCGTTGAGTGAATCCACCACCCCCCCCCCCAAAATTGACTTTTTGGCTCGTCGGAAGCCGGACGCGAATGGCGATGGTCATAATCCTGGGTTTGTTGCAACCGTCGTAAATTCGTGAGAATGGACAAGCGCCCTGATTTTGCTCATGGGGTGTAAAGATCGCCATAAGTCCCTTCTTTTGATGCTGTTATTAAATCTCGAAACAAGCGGTCGTAAGTCGAATCTGTGGGGCCACATTCACAAGCAATGGTGAAGCCGGTCAGGGTGGATATTTGGCCCGTGGTTGCATTTATAACATCTGGATGAGCTTTCCCAGAAACTTCTAGAGGGGCTCCTAAAACACCTGGGAATGTCCCGGGAACATCTGGAGGAGGGGCACACGCACACTTGGAGGAGCTTCCTGGGAACATCTGGAAGGGGCTTCCAGAAACTTCTAGAGGGGCTCCTAAAACACCTGGGAATGTCCCGGGAACATCTGGAGGAGGGGCACACGCACACTTGGAGGGGCTTCCCGGGAACATCTGGAGGGGCTCCCAAAACCACCTGGGAGCGTCCCAGGAACATCTGGAGGAGTTTCACCTGAATATCTTGAGCTTTTCCAGGAACGCCCAGAGGAGCTTCCCACGAACATCTGGGAGAGCCCACTCTGAAACATCTGGAAGAGCTCTCCAGGAACTTCTAAAGGACACCTGGAGAAGCTTCCCAGGACCATCTGGAAGAGCCCCCCCAAACCACCTGGGATCAACCAGTGGAACATCTGGAGGAGTTTCACACGAACACCTGGAAGGGCCTTTCCAGGAGCGCCTGGAGGAGCTTCCCGGGAACATCTGGATAAGCTTCCTAAGGATTCCTAGCACAACAGTGGCCAACCAGTTACCCAAGAAACCCCAGATGACGTCGAGGCCGGCCGTGCTTCCAACCCCGAGCTCACCAGCCTCCAGTTCCTCCTCCTCCTCGTCGGCCAGGAACTCGTCGGGCTCCTCCCCTTCCAGCAACGGGAAGCCCTCCGGAGGCCACAGGAGCTCCCCGCTCTCCCCGTCGCTCCCTTCGCTGGGCTCCACCACGATGGAGGGCAGCCGGGTCTTCTCAAAAACGCAACCTTCACGAGGAGCCCTCTCGCAAGGCCACCGCTCCGTGTCCGTGAAGCTCCCCGAAAGCCTTCTGGCCTTGCCCAGGAGCTCTGGGTGGTCCTGAGAGGACATGTCTTCACAGGGGAAGCCTGTGTCCAGGGGAGGACTCTTCGACAGATCAAACCCGAGATCTTGCGGGGGAGTCAGGAAGGCCTGGGGAGAAGGAAGAAAACCCACCAAGGGGATCAACCGGAGAGCAGAGTGGCTCTTTTCCAGGATCCCAGCTGGTTTCCGTGCCTAAGAAGGGACTAGAACTCCCAGTCTCCTGGTGATCAGCCCTAGGTCACCCAGCCGGCTTTCATGCCTAAGAAGGGACTAGAACTCCCAGTCTCCTGGTGATCGGCCCAAAGTCACCCAGTTGGCTTTCATGCCTAAGAAGGGACTAGAACTCCCAGTCTCCTGGTGATCGGCCCAAAGTCACCCAGTTGGCTTATATGCCTAAGGAGGGACTAGAACTCCCAGTCTCCTGGTGATCGGCCCAAAGTCACCCAGCCGGCTTTCATGCCTAAGGAGGGACTAGAACTCCCAGTCTCCTGGTGATCGGCCCAAAGTCACCCAGCCGGCTTTCATGCCTAAGGAGGGACTAGAACTCC